CAGTGAATGCGTCTCACACGTGCGCAGCTTCAGCTCTGAATGTGCATAACAAATGACACCAACTCTAATTACAGATGTGAGAGACGACACCAGGGACCAGACATCTGTCATTTTACACACAAACATGACACTACAGAGTGCACCTCGTACACTGCGCGATTTTCTATGAGGATGTTCTAAATAATAAAACATTACTCAGGTTTTTAGCCAGTTTTATAGATCGTGTCATTTTTCTCTGCAGACAACAGACGCTGGCCCTTTAACTTCATTTTGATTCATTACTTTTGTGTTGTCAATTTTATCATTACAGTAAAGGAATCATCTCATTCCCCCGTGGTAGTGAGCGAGGGGTTGCTTCTGTGAAGCAAACTGGACAAATACATCTGTTTATTTCTGTGTGCATGTGCATAGGCACAGCGATCTGTACAGTCAGCAGTAAGGCTGTGTCAGTGTCCCTCCAGAAATCTCGCCACCGTGGCCCAACTCTGGACATAACCAGGATAAAGTAAATGAGTAATAAAGGACAGTGGAGTGTGACTCATAAACAGACACAGTAGGTTTAGTAAAATATGTTCCTAGACACTGGTGCTCAGTTTCCTGACAGTGCCGTGACGTGTGGTGCTGTACCGTAGTCCATGACGGACTTCGGCGCTCTCTGCTCCGCTTCAGTGTTTCTCTTCTTGTTCTTTGACTTCCAGGCGTGGTAGACTTTGAGCCGGCGGTGGAACTCCTCCCTGCAGGCGGCCAGCAACTCGATGTCTGGAGGGGACAGATTCAGAAACCAGTAAAAGACCAGTACTGGCAGGACTACGATTCATATAGTTTTAGGTCTCCTGATCTGCTCTGAGTTTAACTGGACCACCATAAACCAAATGTTACTACGAAATGTGCCACATGAATCAAACTCTTACTGTTGAAATTAGATAAAGTTGAGAAAACAAACTGGAGATAAAGTGTCGAACTTCAGACACTGTCCTTGTTTCTAATATCCAACGGTCAAAATGACCAATTATGACAAGGAAAGGGTCATTTAGCTGATTGAAGACAAAGAGCCGTGCACAGTGAGCCGTGCACAAGCTGGATTTGAAGTCTAAATACATTCTTTTACCTAGAAACAGGGTTCTGCAGTGTGACACACACCGACAGCAGTGAGATAACATGTTTCATCAGCACGATTCAGTTAAATTACTTCAGTGGAAAAAAAGAAAAGAATTCAATTTATCATCCCAAGTGCGAGGGTAACAGTGTGCGGTGAGATGCTTAATGCACACTAAGTGCTTAGATAACGTCAAGTGAGCAAAAATACTTTTCACGCAGACAAACGGCGAGGAAAAAAACCCTTCAATTTACTGTGCAAATCGCTGCAGAATAATCTAGAAGGTGGCAGGTGTCAACAAGCGCTCGACGCTCTGTTGTGTTGGACTTGATTCAGATCATCGTGAGCAGTGGTGTGCTCGCATCAGCATTCCAAGTCCTCGTCTGTCTGGGAGGCGAGGTGGGCAACCTGAGCACAGCTAACCCACCCGCCAGCCGGCTTGGCCCCCCCCAGCAGTTTTCATGTAGGCCCATCAGGGAGAAATCTGCAATGTTATGTCTGGATTCACTGACTTTATTGATTTCTGCCAAACCAAAAACCTTTCAGTGATACCAGCAGCCTGACCAATCAGAAACTTCATCTCCAAAGTCAAAGGTCAAGTTTTTGCTCATGTCTTTGTGCCAAAAATGAGGCTGCAGCTTAGCAGCTATTGTCCAAAACCACTGCACTGCAGGTACCGGGTGCAGCACAGAGGACCCGCTGCTGAAAGGCCCCGGCATCCCCAGCAGCGTCTCAGAGTGCTCTCTGTCTATTTTAATAACCGACAGGGTCGAGCACAGAGATACACAAAAGCCTTTTTCAGTGTGAACGAACCATATTACACCTCAGGTAGGTGTCGTTTCCACCTGTGTAATGTAGGTGGTACTGATAACGCCGATCAGTGCTGACTCATGTGAATGAAAACCCCCCCGAGCAAACCAATAACCGAACTGTACATCTGTAAGTTAGATCATTCAGAAAATGCAGACACACACGGTCATAGAACAGAACAGAAGTCCAGCATCTGAACTGCAACCAGCTGCCACACACACTGGAAGCTATCAGGGGGGCTGATGGAGACAGTGTGAGAGTCAGCTCTTCATCCGTGTTGTTAAACAGGCTACACCTCGCTTCACATTTTATTATAGAGCATTTTTCAGGCAATTAAGCCTTTTATTTATGGGGAAGTTTGAAAACGAGCTTATTTACCTCATTATCACGTCTAAACATAATAATGACCCAACATGTGGCGCCTTCAAACTGCCAACATCATCAACTATTTTCTAAATGTCAACGTGCAGGTTAAGTAGTTTGTCTGATATGTTACCATGATACTCTGGGGTATTGTAATACTTTGTCTGACAAAGCAATAAACAGGCTCCAACTGTGGTGTCATCATGATGAGTTGTTTAGAGAGTTGTACTCTGTTTTGCTCGACCAGCAGTTCACTCCCACATGAGAGAAGTGGTCATAAAATGAGGCAGCGCTTTCAAAAATAAAAGTGAGTGGTGTGAAAAGTGGCAGGCATGTCTGTCCGTTTGCTGGGAAACAACAACTTCCTGATGATTCACACTCATCTGCACTCGGGATAAACACATAACAGTGCCCTGACACCGTCGGGTATGGGGTCACCAAACCCACAGCTTACAGCAGACTGCTTGTATAACCGATGTGCTCAGAGCTGATCATTTGACCTGATATTCTGATCAATCAAGTCACTTCAAGCCTATTTGATTTCTATAGCCAGTATCAGAGAACATCCATAGCCTGATGGTGGCGCCAGGCCAAAGGATTCATTGGGTATATTAACAGCATATTTGTAAAGGTCTGGCCACTAGCTTGTGATAGACTAAAGGATTTTTTTAGGTAAACTTTGGATGTGACTCTGGTGACAGAGCATGAATGTGCAACAAGTTTTGCATTGATTTGTTAAAATATGGGACTATGAGTGAGCATTTTGTCCTGAGGGAGGCTTGGAGGAAAGCTGATGAAGTGTTTAAAACTCAAGGCAGCATGAATGTGCTCAGTGAAAATGTACTAGACTTGATATTTCAGGCACATCAGTGGAGGTTCAGGTCTGCTGGTTCTGGCTGTTTTGTGTCTACTGCAGTGTTTTCTAGGGTCTGTTCCCTCTCTGGGCGCCACGTGTTGAGGGGGACTGGACCGTCAACATGCGGTGACGAATGCTGACACTCACCACATGAGGTATTGATGGCGTCTCGCAGCTCGGCGTACTTCCACTTGTTCAGCTCGTACTTCTTGGCCTCAGCAGCGGCCTTGGAGGCCTGGACCTGTGGACCTCTGACACAGGAAAGATAAGGAGGAGGCATGGAGTCAGCAACAAAGACTCACAGTGGAGCATCGAGGGTGACCAGTGAGGAGATCAGAGGGCAGGGTTATTCGCTTTTTTCAAACAGGGCCAACCAGGACTCTGAAGGTAATAAGCAGCAGCAGATGGGTGGAGCTTACAGAGGGTGTCAGACAGAAGTACAGTGAGGATTAGTTGTCAAAAACTTGTGGAATAACTATGTTGTTACCCAGAAATTCGACACCTACCAACTCCAGCAAACACTATGATCCCAGGTCTGAGATTTTCCAAATCTTACTCCCTTTTCTCTGAAATTGGTCACAACAGAAACATTGATGCCTGTTCTCTTCCTCTGGCCTGTATCAGCGCCCGTTCAAAGGCTTTAGGAATCTAAGATTTGTGCTTTTTGTTTTGTTTGTAAATGTACAGACGATGTTAAGCACTTGGTCAACAATCACAGAAAAGTTATTGAAGAAGTTTTAAAGTAAACTCCACCCAGCTGAAGAATCACAGATGAGATATAACAGAAACAACACTGGTTTGTCGCAGATGTTCAGGTGAGAGCGAGGGGAAAGCCAGGTCATTCAGACTATCGCTGTTAAAAGAGGATTGAGCTACAGAAGAGCTACAGAGGGCTGGAGAGTGATTAGTATGAAGATGCATGCTGTTTCAGTTGGCAGGAAGACAAAAGGTGCCTCTGATGTGACGGCGTGGAGCCGCTGTGGAATGGCAGCTCACTCTGGTCAACTATAACCGACTGACAGGAAAAAGCGAACAGCTCTTCTCCAGCTGCCGGGGAGCTGCTCGCTTCTCCACGGCGCCACTGACAGGCCTGATTCGTCCATGACCAGGGTCAGCCCTGCTGCTTCCCTGATCCTGCTGGGTGGCTCTGCGTCTCATGATTAATGGGAGCTGGCCTCGGACCTGGGCGGCTGCGCTATGTTCCCAGAAGCACATGGTGGCTTTGGCAGCGAGCGAAGCAGCCGAGCGACACAGTCACCTTCTGCTGCTGCTTCTGGTTGTGGTGTGTCTGTGGCATAGTGAGAGGCGGCCTGAGCCAATTAGCTGCAGACAGGTGAACAGAGGAGCCAGGTGGAGCGATTGGCTTCACTTCAAATGACATCACTGATTCAAAACAGCACTAAAGCCCAGAGCAACATGAATGGAGAGACCGTTTGGCTGCCGTGATGTGACGAGAAAGTGTGTGGCATCAAGGTGACTTTTACCAGAACGGTGAAGTAGCTGCGCTGGACAAATATGTGGCAGGTTACCTGGAAAAGTGACTCAGTGCTCTGCCACTGAGAAGTAATCAGGTTTTCAGTTAATACTAAAAGGGACAAACAGCAGCACTGAATCCTCCATCAGCTTTGCAAAGTTACAGTTTGTACCTTTACAGTATTAAAATTGCAGATGAGTTCATGATGGTACCGAGAGGACAAATTAGAAAAATCTGGAAAAGTTTCAAAATAAACAAGAAAAGAATCAGGAAGCTGCGGTGGACATTAAACGTGATTGATCTGGAGGGAATTAACTGTCCATCACAATGCTGATTTTGATCTTCTACAATCAACCAAACCTGGACTCTCCAGGAGGATTTCTCCATCACATGATTTTGGTTTTAACAGAGATCTGGAGAAAACTGAAGCGACTGATTGTGCTGAAGGATTTACACTAGTTTGTATGAACGATTTTTACCCACCGAGTCAGAAGTTCAGTCATTTCCTTCGCCATTTCCTCCCTAGAAAGCATAATGGCGCCAATGTAAGAAGGTTAGTACAAGGTGTTGAGGTGTTTCCTAGAACCAAACTGACAAAATACTGACTGCATATAAATACTCAAAGCAGATAAATAACATGAGGTAGAAGTAGATGGCGTAGAGGCAGTGGAAGAAGACACTGACAAACGAGGGAAAAGAGGAACAATATACGGTTAGAAAAACAAAACGGGTGACGAATAAGGAGGAAAAACACAAGGCTGGACAAGGAGCAACCTGAACTCTTAGAAATCCTACATAATACAAATCTGCAACAGAAAACACAATCTGAATGTTCACAGACAAAGCATTTCATTTCTTTTCCTACAAATAAAGTCTGATGAACATTTTCTGGTGATGTCTGTCTCAGCACTTGGTTAAGTCCAGTGAAAGATCTTAGACTTGTTTAAATATTGAAGGAAATCAAAGATGGAGCTAATGAACGTCTCCAGTAAACAGTGTCTTAGTTGGCTAATACTAACAAAATGGAAAGTGTGGCTCCTTTAACTTAATGTATTAGCAACAAAATGTCCTAAAAGTATCAAAAGTAAAAGCATTTTTTATGCCCAAGGACTTTTAATGTTGTGTTGTTGTGTTTTAATGTTGGAGCTGTAGCTTGTATAAACTCTTAATCAAACTAACTAATGCAAATTTACCTCAGAAAGCTAATTCTCTGCGGTTATGTAGTAAATGTACCAAGTGTGGCACATGGACGCAGCAGTGTGTGGACTGTCCTCCACAGCACTGTACACAAAACCATCACTGGGCATGTAAAAGTCATTTCTAGGAAACAGGGTTGCAGACATGAAGATGACAGAAACAAAAGTGAAGCCAGGAAACAAAAAGAAGCTTAGAAGAAGGAAAAGGAAGAAGTCATCTGTGTGAATGTGGAGCCTTTGTGTTAAAGTGTCTCAAACACCATTGTGCATGTTCTTCATTTCTGACTGACACTGCACATCAGGAGCAACAGGACTAAACATCCTCTAACACTCGTATTGACCTTTAAAGCTGCTCAATATCTTTTCAGCCCAGAGCTGAGACACTGTCACCGGGGTTATCAGACACTGTGGACAATCTTATACATGCAGCGTTAAAGCAGCGTTCGTCTCATACTTGGGTTTGTGTTTCCATCTTGGATTCTACTTCACAGCATCTACTGTGACAAAGTCAAACTGAATGCGTGGTTTTATCAAGGATGTTTTGCCATTCGATGCCTTTGAGCTCTAGATCCGGTTTGTAGGGAGACGTGAAAACACCGCAGTGATATTTAGAATGAGTAACTTCACAAAGAGCACCGCAAAGGAAAAGAGATCATATCAGAGAAGAAGTGGGCTGTGGACTGGAACCACCTGCTATATCGAGGGCTACGATGCACCACTACTGCACCCTCAAACTGTGTAACAGCATGATGTGCCCCTAGTCACAGCTGACTCATGACATGAAGCATCAATTTCAACATGCAAAATGACTTTGTATGTGGGTCGCTGCAGGCTAAGTGCAGAGAGAAGAGCGCAGGAGGCCTCCGAACCAACGCTGGGCCGTGAGGACTGAAGCGACCGCACAGAGCACTTTAACATTTCAGGCTGCAGCTCTGAACTCACTCTGTGCTCCGGTGCCAAAACAGAAATCACTAAATACACCAAGCCCTGTAAATGTGCACGTGACTTCACACAGTGTGCTGAAGGTGTTGGGTGTGTGAGGAGGAAACCTACATGGTCAAGCTCTTGAGTTTTGTGGTTCCAGCAGCGCTGTAAACACAGGATTAGTAAGATGGAGCACTGCACAACACAACAGAAGAGTCAGAACAGAAAGACGATTCCTTCCCCTGTGATCACAGGACACAGCCCGGATTGATCAAACTTAGGAGAGAAGACCCTTCAACTTCTACTGGGACTAAAACTATTCATCCTTTGTCTGTTGACTAGAACAGGATTTGGTGGCAGCTGTCTGTGTTGTAGGTGGCTGATAATGATACTTATTTGTTTACATAATCACGTAAACACTCCTATAACTACCCTTTATTTTTAGAGAGAGAGATGTACTGAATGGAGGATTCCCATATTTGAAAAACAATTATAAAATAGCAACGTTTTGAAGCTCGTTTCTGGGGTTTTCTCTGATGTAGCTCCAGTTTCATCCTCCATTTTATAACTGCAACAATTTGTTATAAACTCCCAAGGATAAACGTGACACATTTAGAAATAAAGATGCTCTTGCTAAATATTATATCAGTGAGAAAATGCAAGCTTCTGCAGTATTTCTCTTTGTTGATCTGGGCGATGAGCTGTGGCATTAAATTGCCCTTAGAGGAAAAATAAAGTTGAACCAACTTGAACTGAATTGACTCTATAAAGTTTGCCACCATAAGCTACTGGTCAGACCAAACTAAGGCTGCAGCAGTAAAACCCCTGAGTGTATTAAACTGAGTAAAGGTGCATTTTACTGCTAAGGAATCTAACTTAATATTTTCCCTTATAGAGCTGCACAGTCCTCCTTTAAAGAGACTTATTCAGGCTCATTATTGTGCTGACTAATCAGTCATATGATACATGTCTTATTCTTAAATATTTGTAAATACTTGTCTCTTTTTAGTGTTTTAACTGTAATTCTCAGAAGTTTGATGAATACGGGCCCAGATCATGTTTTGGTGACAATCACATTCGTGCTACGATTAAAACTGGTGATGATTACTTTGCTCAAATCTAGATAACAGAAATCCTTCTACTTAAAATGAAAGTTAAACAATAAATAAAAACACAGAAGTTGTTTTTATGACAGTAGTGTCTCTGTTAGTCTGCATCGGCATGTCATTGTTAGAGAACGGGTTTGTGAGGCTGGCCGATTGTTACAGCATGCAGGGGTGGGTCATAGTTTAAAGGTCAAAAGTAGGTTGGGAATAAATGAAAGGGTTAAATCACTGGGTCTTACGCTGCTCTCTCTGGGGACGATGGAACTGAGGAGCCGTTACTGGGAGGAAAAAGAAAAAGAAGAAGAAATGGTTAAAGACAGGACTGATGGCGGTTGCTCCGGTACAAGGTCCAGGATGGAGCCGGTCTGAGGAGGGGTCAGTGACAGTCCAGTAGAAACCTACAGTCTACAATGTCCCAAACTCTGGCTGGTTGTCAGCCCGCCTTCATCAAGGCTTCGCTTGGGACCACAAAACCTTCAGCGTCTATCAATGGACTGCACATGAACTCTGAAACCAGACTGAGGCGAGTTCATCTCACCTCGGTCTGATTAATTATTCAGACTCAGTCAGCGTCCTGTCAAAGCAAAGCCTAGCACATGATGTTGTGCAGCACACGTCAAAACCAGTTGCTACTACAAATGTTCCACAATGATATGTTGTGGTCACAGAGCTGCAGGGTCACATACAGACAGCTTCTTGTCTAGAGCCAGAGATGTTTCGTCAAGCTGACGGAGGTCTGAGAGTAATAGTTCTGCCGTTTGTCTCCGAATCCTCCTGAGGTTTAGCTAACCTCAGAGATGGACTGCAACCCGTCTCACCATCATGATCTCAGTGATTACTTAATGGGTAAAAAACAATGAAAACAAAATTACTGTTCAGTAATGAGCGGCATAGATAATGGATGGATGGCTGATTTGTAAAGGCAAGAGGATGTCAAACTAACTGGTGCATCATAGAAGCAAAGCAAAGATTAGAGAACGTTACAAGCACATTTTGTTTTCTTACTGAGCAGAAACAGTTTCTCAATGCAGTAATTTTATTGGCTGATGGCTGTAACCAAAGTGCTTCCTTATTTAAATCCATGTGCGTGACCTCCAGACCTCCATTAGCTTGAAGAGACAAAGGCCTGTCTCATCCTGTCAACAGATACATAAACACTGCTACACCCCCCATGTCATAAAACCACAAGGTCGAAAGGAAATTAAAGCAAACAAAGACTTTTTTGTGCGACGCTGATGGCGCTGACAGCGTAACACAGACAGCTGTGTCAGGTACCTGCGTAGGCCTGTGTCGTTCTGCACCTCCTCTGGGATGAGCTCCGCCTCGCTCTGGGCGATCCTCAGCGCCAGCTCCCTGTCCCTCCTCTCCTGCTCCAGGATGGTCTGCCGAGCCGCCTCCTCCTCCCGCTCTGCCTGCAGCTGCACCTCCATCTCCATCTGAGCTCAAACAGGAAACAGCTTCACTTTCTACCTGCACTCCCTGAGAACCTGTTCCAACATAGTGTATGTTCATGTGGAGCCATGACAGAGTGAACTGTCAACCACTGGCAGCTCCACCGTGTGCTGCGGCGTCACAGCAGGCCTCAGTCTGGACGTTTAAAAACATTCTATTCAAGTATATTTGACGATTTTGTCAGTCGTGAAACTGCAGGTCACTACATTTCTGAAACAACACACATCTTTAGGTACGTTTCCACCAGAAAGTTGCTGCTACTTTTCACTCTCAGGAACCTTCACGGCTGTAAAAGTCCCTCAAGTGCATTTTGATTTCTCCAGCAGGGTCAAAACCCAGAGAAGATTAAGAAAGATCAGCCCAGTGGTGTAAAAGCTCGATGGTCAGCAGGAGGGTTTCGAGAATGTCATGTGTAAAATGCCATGTGGTAATTTAGTCAGTGACGCCCAGCGCTGCAGGCCTCGACCTGATAGTTCTTGGAGCTTCAGAAAGTACTGCCCCCATAGTTTGGGGCTGTTTTAGGGGGTAGAGAGGAAAAGGTTCCTGTTCCCCTGTGATTGGCTTCACAGTTTTTGACATTTTAAATTAAAAATGATCAGAATGAAATAACGAAAACCAGCACCACATGCAGCACCAGAGCTGTGCATACACTCCTATTACTGCACAGACTCAAACATTGCTCATGCATGCAAACAAAATATAAAATCAAAGCTTTCTGGAAAGACAGAGCTGCACCAGGGTGAACATGCAGGCGGCCTTCACCTTTCCTACGAACAGAGCAGACAAAGAGCTGCGGGTGGGGTGGGGGGGCTCTTCATCTCCTCTGTCCTCCTCATTACAGAAGGAACGAGTGACGGGCAGTGAATAGGGTACAGCGGATGATTAATGCTCCTGTCTCTGCCTGTCTTCATACACAGAACTTTCATAAGAGAAGTGGCCCCTGACAGACTAAGGGAGGCCACGACTGAAGGTCTCGGTTCATTAGCCGAAGTTCTTCCCCATCTCAAAAGACTGAGGAATTCTTTAACCTTGATGTTTTAATGTTTTATCATGTTTAACACCTTCAGTCTTGCTTTTTCTCTGCTAGTCGGTACCAGTTAAAGCTACTCTGTCTGTTCAGCCTAGTGAGGCACCACTGCTCCCTTCTCTGTGCTTCATCAGTGGGGAGGGTTTAAAACATTTCATTAAGCTGCAGATCACAGTTAATTCTGTAAAATGCTGCAGGGGTAAGTGCAGATTTATTAAGCACTTACTCGCTGGTTGATTGTTGTGATTGTTTTTCGATGTGTTTCATCACCGGGTAGCAATTCAAAGACTGTGCTGATTAACTGATGCTGGCTGCAGAACGGACTGCTCGCCTGGTCACTGAGCTCTGATGCAGGGGCCCATTCCACCAGACTGGCAGAGCGCGAGTGCAATTCTCTCTCCTGTTAAAGTTTCTCTAAAAAAGCAAACACCATATGTTCGGGCCATGCATGATCTCTCCCACACAAATTTATCTGCAGTCATGTGTGAAATGTGATGATGAAACAGTTGAGATCTGCATGTAAGCAGTGCTCACAAATCGCTGTGTCAAACAGGATTGTGGACTGATAGCACTGCCGTGGATCGAGACGAGTTACTGACAACGATGGCAGCGGTATCATGTATCTGTTGCGCTAAATGCATTTTCAGACTGACAGCAGAAGTTAGAGATAGCAGCTCTGCTTTTACACTGAACCGTTTGACGGCAGTAAATGTCACAAACGCTTCATATTTTGGACTGTAACTACAAATACATAAATAAATAAAGAAAGACAACTCTCCCTAAATCCTGAGCCCCGTTAGAGGCTGCAGAGGCAGTCATGAATATTTAGGTGAGAGCAAACGTGCTGAGAAGCCCAACACCTCTGGGCTGATGGAAATGCAGTAGATTTGTGGTTAACCCGGCCTGGGACTCGGGGACGCCGGCCAGCAGCTTTGATCTAAATGGCCACTGCTCGATGCTAAAATTTGCACTTGATCCAGGCCGGGTCGACGCCTCGGGGAGCCAGAGGGGCAGCAACAGCAACAGATGGGGCGGACGGAGACGCGCCAAGACGATGAACATAAAACCCTGTGAACTGTAAAAACCTGCTATCTCTCTGTCGCACACACAAAGCAGTGTGCTGGTATTTGTAACACAGCCAGACCCATGCTTGTGTTGAACGTGTATAAAAGTGCGAATTTCCAAACACACAAGCCACAAACACTCCGACCACAACAACAGAAGATCGAGGCACGTATGTGTGAAGACAAGCTGAGCCCTGGTTACTGCACACACACGCGTTTTAAAAAGGGTCACTTCACACAAATTACACAGTAAATTGAAATTCTCTCTTCCCCTCTTGTGGTATCGATCCTCAGTTTTGGTTTTATTTGTCTGGGGGTTGAGATATTCATCTCATAGATCTCTGCCTTCGCCCCGGTCCAGCAGAAGAGAGTACGATCCAGTTTGTCGTGATAAGAAATTTAAAAAATGACATCCGCTTTCAGTAACAGTGTCCCTGGATGATCCACAGAACCGTGTCCAAAATCACTCCACGCTGCCCTATATTTACTGTCCGCCATTTTATACGAGGGTCTGAGCTCCGGGTATGAATGTGCCTCAGAGATCCCTAAGAGTCACTGAAAAAAATAGCTTCCACAGCACGTATACTACTAACAATCCCACAGTGCACCGTGCCATGTTTTAAAGATGTGTGACTCCTGTCAGTGAAATCTCAAAGCTCAGACTTGACACTGACACGACTGTGCACCTCTACCAGAGTCTGCTGGTCACTGCCAGCTGCAGCTTGAGCCTGAGTCTGTTTACATTTGGACAAACTGTACGCCCAATGAGCTGGTGTTGGCTCCTGTTTGCAGCGAACCGCTGAATGTACTGACAACTTTCACTGGATTCCTTTGACACTGAATAGAACTTAAAAATGTGATGATTCACAGGCTCTGGAGTTAATGACAACTATCTTCCTCTGCGATTTCTGAGCAGATTTATGGAGCTAATGATGTGCTGGGATAAGAAATAAAGATATATTTAATGTAAGTGGCAGGTTTATTCTTAAACTGTAAAATGCTCCACTCTCAAATATGAATATCAGCATAAAGTCAAAAATACAGCATGAAAGCTCCTGAAGTAGACGTCATTTTGTCCCTGATCAAGTCCGTAAACTCTTGAAAACAGTCAAACAGGTGAAGTGGCGACTTCTAAATGCCTGTGTTTAAACTCACCTAATGTTACCTGCACATATTCTGTCATTTTAAAGCCAACTGGAATGTTCTGATAATAACTACCCCCCTCCATGCCCCTCTGCTGCCTACAGCCTCCTGTTGTTATTCCAGCTTCTCCATCCTGTGTTGTCAAAGTACGGTCTGTACATCAGCCCCGCCTGCCGCCTAGCCAAGGTTAGAAGAAGGGTTTTTCCAGCCAGTTGTCACGTCAAACAGCCATGGAGGAGCTCTGGGCGGCTAAAAGTCTGACTGGCCTCAGTCGACTCTCTGTCACTGTGAGAATAACCACGACACAAACTCTGCCTCCTTATCTGTGCGCTACGTTGCCAAAGCTTTCATCAACTCATTTGTGTTTTAAGTGTTAGCTGTGGTTCAACATCCCCATCGTTGTCACGATGCGTCCTGAAAGTCACTATCTCCTCATCAAACAGACACGACCTTGACATGACCTTGACATGTAGAAACTACGGATCATAAATCAGTAAACTATTGGTCCTGTTACTTGACATGGTGCTGCTGCAGAGCCAGGACCCATGAGTCAGCTAACACCAGATTTGCTACTGGAGGCTGCCTTATGTGCAGTCTGTCCCAACCAGGCCTCCGTAGTTCACGTCATAGCTTCAGAAACACGTGGGGCAAAGAGCAGTAAAGAGCTTATGGTGTCAGTTTGTGTTGCTCTCATTAGACCCTCTAGGCTGATGGACACTAGGCAGACAGAGGAAAGGTAAATAAATAAAGCAAATGTTTTCCTAAGACCCTTTAGCAGCACACAGAACTCTAACTTATTGGAAAAGAAAAAAAAAATCACGTATTCACTTGTTTTACAGACAGTGCTCACTGATATTTAGTCCCTTTGCACTGAATTCAGTGTATAAATCATCACGTAAACCACCTCCACACAGCTTCTGGGTTAAAACAACCAAAGCCACCAGCCTGCTGGACACCTGGAGCAACAGACCCAACACCTACCTGCAGCCTCCTCTCCTCCTCCTCCCTCCTCTTCCTCTCCTCCTCTTCCTGCTTCCTCTTCACCTCCATCTCTGCTTTCCTGATGGGAGGCAACATGAGAAGAGGAAAGTCAAACGATGTCACAGAAAAATAAAGACATGACAAATGAGACGGAAAGAAAGAGAAATCGATTCAGAGGAAGAAGGAGGAAGAGACGGGGAGGGAGACGGGGGGGATGTATTATGGAGCAGTGAAGAAGAATAAACGAGACAACAGACACAAAGATATTGTGAGATAAAAGAAAAGAGACAGAGACAGAGTGAGACAAACAGTGTTAGATCAGTGAAGTAATATATTGGTTCATCCTAAGTGATTGCGTAGTCCGCTGTCGTTTTCTCTAACTGGGAACGTGAATGAGCCAGCACTTCTCCAGAACAAACATCTGGTCACTTTACACCGGGTTCCTTACACATCTGTCTTCTTTTATCAGGTCTTTTGTTACAATGTCTTGCTTTCCATGCACTCACACAGTTTTTCATTTTAGCCTGACGTCAAGTTCCTCAGACCAAACGAGTAACTGATTAATCAAGACGGTCAATGTATGTCCGTCAGTCCCCAAAACAGCTGTCTCTATTCAGTCCAAGTGTGATATCACACAGCAAAAAGAACAGCACATCCTCTCAGCTGAGAGGCTCGGTTTGTTTTTAAAGACGGCATTATGCTTGTAAAGTGATTAAATAATAGTCAGAATAGTTTGGATGGATTTGTCACTTGGAAACAAAACCAACAAATCCATCCAAACTGCTGAATCACACGTAAAGAGAAATATTCTCCTCTGTTTCAGTTGCTCTTTGCCTTTTTATTTTTGTGCTGTGCTCACAGAAAACTGTCAGAGCAGTGAAGCTCTGACACCTGCCTCCTCACCGCTGTCTGCTTCTGACCTCTGGTCATGTAGGAAGTGAAGGGTATTCTGCCGCTGCACACAGTGCAAGCTGCTGTGGATGACCCAGCATGCTCTGTACTCATTCTGCAGCAGTACAAGAGGAGTTAGCATTGAGCGGCAGGCTTTAAAACATCCTTACTAGTAATGTTGGGAATAAAGCTGCACCGGATCTATGATGAAATAGGTGCTACAGGGTCAGAGACTTTATCAAAGTCATCTGGTACAGCTCGGCATGCCGGTGCAAGCTCCAGTGTGACCTTCAGGTGAGTCTGGAAGTTCATAACTTTCCAGATTCTAGTGTCTTATATTAGCAGGTACTGGTCTGTGATGAACACAGCGGGGAAACAGAGAAGGACACGTCAGGAAAGGCTGCTGACAGACTGCAGAGAGAAGAAGCACAGAAACCAAACCAGTCAGTCTGTCTTCATTCGTGCGGGGTTGTTCCAGATTTCATGAGTCACAAAATGCAGCACGCTTCAGATGAGTCACATGATTAAAGTTAAAACAATACAGAACGTGATGAAGACTGGTATCGACTTCAACCGCTCAACTGGGCTGAATGTGGCTGCTGCTACATCCTGTACTCCTGAACACAACATGTACATTTTTCATGTCTTGTCTTGTGTCCATCCATCCATCCGTTATCTATACCCCAGTGGTTATTGCTAATATCAGGAGGGGACGATAAAAACCAAAAATACCAGTCTTCTTTGTCAAAATGTGAGGACTGGAAGCTGTCAAGAGCAGTTTGTGCTGCCTGGTTCATCATCTGGGTTAAGCTTGTTAAGAATGTTCATTTAAATGTGGATCTGGCTTCTCTATCCCAGCCTCTATAAAAATAAAACCATCTTATTATGTAAATCCCTAGTGGGCACCTCTAAAAATGTGTGGACAGTATTTGTCCACTGAGGCGGTTTTCACTGAAAAGTGGCTTTTGTTGAGTCGAAACACGCCAACTTTTATAAGAGCCTCTTAATTTTTGGCTACGTGATGGCAAAACAGAAATGTTTCATCTGAACCTCAGTTAAGAGAAACAAAAACCCCTCCCACTTACAGTCGCCTATCCTCCTCCTCCTGCTTGCGGCGCTGCTCCTCCTCCTCCCTCCTCTTCCTCTCCCTCTCCATCTCCTCCTGGATGCGTCGAAGCCGCTCCCTCTCCTCCTCCTCCTTCTTCTTGTTCTGCATGGCTGTCAGCAGCTGCTCTGACCGGGTCACCAGGGCCTGGTACTCGTGGTCGATATCGATGCGGGTCATGACGGTGCCCTGACAGACACAAACTCAGATTTACTCACATGATGTTTCTGGGCAGTGGGAGCTATCTGACCGGTGAAGACAAGTTTAGATCAATATGCTTTACAAAGCACAGGGGACGCTGGATAAAGAATCCTTGAGCACGTTATTTCCAGGTTGTGCCTGACCATGACCTCTGACCTCTCAGTGAATCAAAGCTGTGATTCTCCACCTGAACCAAAACAAGTTCAGTTGAGTTTGGCAGTGACGTGTCAAACACATGGAGCTTGTACAGGCAGGATGTTCCTTCCTGTGTCAGCTCACACTGCCCCTCTGTGTTTCAGACCACGTTTGACTGCGTTTACAGTTTCACTTTGAGACTCGCTGACAGTGAAAAAGTGTCACGTTGGTGCAGTGATAATTTTCCAGAGAATCAAATTAAAGGCGCGTATAGTGTCTGTTTTCAGGACCCTCTGTCTGATCCATGATTACACCCTGGCACGGTGACGCTCTGCCTGTCCACACTCAGCTCTAACAGGGGTTTCTGCATTAATGCAGCACATCTGGCACATCTCCAGCATCTGGTAGATTCTGAGGACAGAGCAGGATTTTCATACCCTGATTTTACAGGTTTAAAAACCAGAATGAGGCAGCAGAGCTGTGACCGTGCAACAAACAGCACGACAACCTTGCAGCATCTGTAATCATAAAATGAAGTGGCTTGTCTTAACTGTGCTAATGGGGACATCAGAGCTGCAGACAGATACTGAAGCTTCATACTACAGCACCACTGGAGCTTAGAAAAATCTTCTGAGAGCATCAGGGCGTCTCACATTTCTCTGTCCCTGTGCGTTCAGGCAGCATCAGAGCTCGATCTGACATCTGACACACTGGTTGGTAGCGTAAACCTGAGGAGGGAAATGTGTTACCAACTCACGGCAGATGAATATTCATGTACACCTGCTGTCATTGCAACCTTTTTCCTACGAATGCCAGTCACTGTGCAACAAAGCTGCAGAGAAGGGTTTGATGTGACAGCAGCGTCTCGCTCAGGAGTCCCTCGGCCAGCGTTTGTCCTTCTAATCCCAACATTTACAGTGGTGAGCACCTGCCAGACTCCTCTGGAGAAAAAGTGGTGGATCAATAAAGATGACAGCGACGCTAAATTATGACCATCGGATTAAAAAAATCTACACTGGGACATTTAAGATTCATGACATTCAAAGGGACGATTATCTTAAAGAGGCTCAATGTAAAGCCAGAGAAACCACACAGTTTAATTCAGTTCAACAGCAAATACCACCTCGATACTGAGAAGCCAAGAGTCTTGAAATCTGTCATTCTGGGTAAATATCTCTGAATCAAATGTCAGGAAACCAAGAGCTCTTTATCGACCCACACTGATGCTACAGTACATATATACAGTAAACAGCAAAAACAGCCCAATCTGCATTTCATTAGTGAATATTTTAAAAATCCAGAGGATCATCTCTGTTCCCACGTCGTCAGGCTGAGGCTCGCGGCACCGCCTGTCTTTCACACCGCTCCAGAATTTGGTTTCATTTCATACTGTCCATCATTTTCTCTGAGTGGCTGGCACTTCTGTCAATAGTGCTGGATTTTCTCATTTGTGTCCACCAAAGCAGACACAAAGGTGATATGAAAGATTCTAGGCACAGACACAGTCACACACCTTGATTTTGACCATCAGGGCATCGATGGCGGCCTCCAGCTCCTGGATCTGCCTGCTCATCTCCTGCTTGCCCTCCTTCAGCCCGGCCACCACCTCGTTGAAGCGGCCCATCCTCTTCTTCAGGTTACGCACCTTGACCAACCCGTCGATCCTAAACCAGACACACGAACTCTTTAGTCAGTGCTGATGGGAGTTCAAAGAAGTAACACCACAGTGTAGAAATAGTCCTGAAATCAAAATGTTACTTTAGTAAAAGTAATTAAGTACTGGCATCAAAATATATTTAAAGTACCTAAAGTAAAATCACTCAGAACGACGTAACATTATATCTTCAAGGCTGCTGCTCGTGTCTGAAGGCTCCTTCTATAAACACCCAAACAAAGTTATGGAGTCGGGTTTGTTTGGACAACGTGCATGAGACAGAGCTCCCTGCTCCCCCTCTCAGCGGCCGTGTGTCATTTTGTGGAACTGAGGCTATTTTAGTACGAATACTGTCATCTGCTTTCACTCTGGAACTGGACTGTGGAGGATTAACTGGTAAATAACTTTAAGTAAGAGTTTTAAGCCCACAGACTCAGCGTGAATGTGGCAGGACACTGGAAACAGGTGTTTGTTAAAGATGCTTACATTTATTGTCTGAGTGGAACACACACTAGCGAGAAGGCCAACAATGACAGAAAAGGTCGTTTTATCTCGAGGGGAGGCTCACCTCCCCACAGTTTGAAAACCACTGCTCTATGTCATTTTTCTGCTCATTTCCTGTTTCATTAAGTCTCAGTTGTTGCCTAAAATCTACCCTGGTCATTAGCGCTCCACCCACCCCCTGTAATCACACACTTCAGATCTTCAGCAGCACAGCCAAACAGTCACACAGTCTGTTCGCTGTGGACCAGCAGGCTGCCAGATCAGACCCCCCGGTGGGAGGGGGGAAAAAAACCCTCTTTTCACCTGCAGCCTCCATCTTCCCTCCCACCTGCCGCACCCAGCTTCTGTTGTTTATCATCAAATATCAGAGGTAATAAACAGAGCTGCACGTGTCGCCAGGCGACTGTCTCCGAGGCGATGTGTGTGTGTGTGTGCGCACCAGGCAGACTGACACTGCTGAGCTGTAAAAGTGGCAGATAATGAAGAAGTGAGATGAAGAAGAGGGACTGAGGGAGGAAGAGAGCAAGAGGAAAGTGAATGTGCTGAAGAAGGAAGGAAAGAAGGGTGAGGAGGAGAGAGAGATAATTAGAGGAGTGCAGAGTGGAAGGAAAGTGAAGTGTGAGCAGACAGAGGTGAGGATAAAAAATTGGTTGGAGAAAGGGAAAGAAGCAGAGCCTAGATGATGATAAAGAAGACAGTTAAAGAAGGAGAAAGAAATGGAAAAGCAGAAAGGCAAAAAAGGAGAGAGCTTAAAAAAGAAAGGAGGGCTAGATAAACGGAGGAGACAGCTGAGAAGGGAGAGGATAAGAAAAAGGAAGTGGGGATAGAGGAAAATATGGAAAAGGGGTGGAAACAGATGCAGAGTAAAAAAAAAAGAGTGGAAGAGAGAAACAAAGTAGAATACAGAGAGGAAAGAAGGGAAGTCAATATCAAGGCTGGGCCACGAAGAGGGCAGAACCAAAACACATTTTTCTCCCTCTGCTGATGTGTGACGATTTAAGAATATAAATAAAATACAGATTTTTGATTATACACGCCCCAGCTCCCCCGTTTTGTCTGTGGGTGAGCGTTCACTTTTACCTTGTGAAAGATGGACGGTGTGTAGAGGAGAGCAAGAAAGGACTGAGAAAGAGATGAAGGAGAGGACAAAGGGAGAACTGGAGGATGGAGAGAAGAAGAAGGGGAAAGACGGGCCACCCACCGCGGCTTGTGCTTCTTCCTGCAGAGCCACATCCGAACCGTCTTTTGCATCTTGATGCAGGCGCCGGTCCGGTACAAAATCTTGTTCTTCACTTGGAGAGACATGAAGGAAAACAAGAGAAGGAAAAGACTTAATTTCCTGTGATCTTAACCTCTGAGGGCCGTGCATCTGACAAGCAGTTTACATGAGCAGTACTGTCACATTAAATGTCATCAAGCATTTATCTCATTAATCTGTCCATTATCTGTTGGTCCCCTACTAGGGCGCTGATGGACCTTTGACCTTAGAATCATCAGTGACGCCCTGATAGCTGAACTGTACCCCATCGGAGGCACTGCTCCCAAACTGTGCACGCCATTGATAGAGAGAAAAGGAAAAGACTGTCAACCTCCTGCAGTCGTCATCTCTAAAGGTCACCAAAACACTGGCCCGTCCTTTTCCTGTCACTTATCCCAATCAGCGTGGCAGCAGGTTATACAGGGCAGCTCCGACGCGCCACAGCAGGGCGGACGCTCCACAGCAGGGCGGCCCCTCCGACGCTCCACAGCAGAGCGGACGCTCCACAGCAGGGCGGCCCCTCCGACGCTCCACAGCAGGGAGGATTTCAGTCTGAAATCTTCTGCCATATTGTACAATGTATATTTATAAAAGCTGTCTCTCTCTTCCTCTCATTTCCAATTTTACTGTAAAAATACTGTTGCTGAAAAAAGGACTGTCAATAAAAAACCATAAGAATTCAAAAACCAAAATGAGATGATCAGTGCGGTGTTTTTCCCAGTCTGATCCTTTTCTTCAGTGCCAATATAAACATTTCAATGCCAATGTTCCTTTTCTCAGGTCAGACTTTGTTTTCAGTTCCAAAACCTAAAGTCACTCTCCTGCCTCCTCCTGCCATGATTTCTGTCTAGTGACTGTTTTTGATCACTGGTGCCATGGACAGATTTTGGTCTGAACGGAGGATCATCGCCCAGCCTTCGTCACGCTGACCGGGACCAGACTCCATCAGATGTCCCCGGTTTCTGTGCCCAAACATGGGGGAATGTTTGGAGCAGTTTATGCTGCTATAAAAAGCCCTGCCGCCCCCTTTATGTTCTGTTTCCCTGTACACAGATTCAATTTGTAGAAACTAGAGAAATGGCTTCATATGCTCATACGGTATACTTTCCCATATGTTTGCAGTACTTCTCGATTTCTTATCAAAGCACATCGTTTGTGATCACATCCTTTCCAGGCTCTGCCAACAGCGACGCTGTTTTTAAAGCCAGTTAAAACTGAAGTGAGAGCATCAGAAATGGAGGGAGGGCCAGTGAGATGAAGGAATAAAGAGAGACACCATCGCTACTAAATTCATTTCATCTTATTCTGCATCACAATCAATACACATCAATAACAGAACTGAATGAATGCCTTTGCATTTACTAAGTGCACCGACTGGTTGCACTGAGCAGTGTCTGCTGCCTTTTCTAACATGACAAACCCCGTGGACTGGAAAAATGTATTTATCTTTAATGAGATATGATGATATGCTTCAGCGACACTGACCTCTATTCAGTTCCTGCCAAATAAATCTTATTTTCAATTTGATCAACACAGAGAACACAGTGTGGGTGAGAGGTAGAGTCAGACAGAGCGACACAACGAGGAGGGGAAAACAGGACGGAGGGAAACCAAGAGAGAAACGGAAAAACAAAGAAGCTGAATAACTGAGACAGAAAAAGTGAGAAAGGCAGACGAAAGCTTGATTAAGCCAAATACAGAGAGAGAGAGAGAGAGAGAGAGAGAGA